AAAATTTCTTACATACTATTAAGATTTATTTTCAAGTATTTTTGTGAGAATTCAATTTTTACTACATCTTATTCTATCTGTTCTTAAGTAATAGTTATAGCAGGTAAAATTAAATTTTATTTTTTATAAATTATTCCTTTTACTTTTCATTTCTTGGATATTTGCAACTAATGTTGCTAATACTTGCTTAATGATATCAGTAATTCTATTGGCATGATGAAGAAAAATATTTACTGCAGGAATTATTGAGAAGTAATAGATAATACAAAGCCACGTCTACAAGAACATAAGGGTTATAGCTATTATCAGCAAAAAAACTGTTTCAAAATAAACCATGACAGATTTAATAAGATAAGCCTAATTGTTATAATATGGATGCTAGTCATGTCATTAAGAACCAAATCCTATTAAAATCAATTTGTGAAACTCATATAATTTTAACCCAGTATAATCTGTTCTTCAATAATATAACAGCCAAAATACTATAAAATCCTTCATTATCAAAAAGCACACTTTTACTTCCGGTCAAGATGGAGGCATAGGTACATGCGGTACTCACCTCCTCCCACATCAAAATTACAACTAAACTCCGGAACAAGCATCATTCAGAACCACTTGACACCAAGCTTAATGGAAGTCCTACAACTACAAAATTAAAGAAGAAGCCACACTGAGTCTAGTAGAAGGGGTGGAGGCGCGGAAGGGCTGGTCCCTCACCACCTGTGGCGGATAACAATCAGGTGGACACCTTGGCTGGAAGGTCCTCCCTGAGGACTGAGGGGTCCCCGTCCCACACCAGGCGCCCATCTCAGGGTTCCAGTGCCAGGAAGAGAAGTCCCCATAACTCTGGGCTGGAAAAACCAGAAGGAACTGAGGCAGAGAAAGGCTGCAGCTATTGGAGCCCCAAGCAGTTCCTCTTATAGGGTCTGCACACATACTTACTCAGACTTATTCCCTGTAAGCTTGGAGGGGAGGCAGCTTGAGGGGCGCCAGAGACACACAGGAAAGAACTGAGGTGTTTGGCCTCAGGACGAGGCCTGGAGAGGCGGCTCTCTGCTGGACAGACCTGCTGGTGGAGGCTGATGTTCCTTTGGTGAGCCCTTCCCTGGGGCGGCAGATGGCTGCCATATCTGGGACTCTAGCAACTGGGCTCACACTGTAGCCCCACCCTGGTGATTCCCTGAGGCCCTGCCTCACCCAACTTTCGGGCCTACCTAAGCTGTTTCCAAAGGCTTTACCATAGGATTGACCTGTCTTGGATCCTGCTTCAGAGTTTCCTAAAGTCTCTCAAACAAGCAGCATCTGGTCTCAGCGAGCCCCATACTTCTTGTTAAGTAGCCCCTGGCCTGGCACTAGAAGCTGCCAGCTGTGGTTCACAACCTGGCTTTTCCTGGTCACCTCCAAGCCCAGCACAAGAAGCAGCCACTGGCAGATCACTTTGTAGCTTAAGCCTGGTGGCCCCAGGTAGAACACAGGCAGTGGATGATCTTGCCCAGAGCCAGCACACCCAGTGGACAGCTCCAGACCACATCGAAACACCACCATCCAACCACCTCAATGAATGGACTCAGTAAGTACCAGAGCCCCGATGAAGTAAGTCTTGCTCTGTGTGGTGGGCCCTACACAGCTGATCCTCCAAGGTAGAGGTCCAGGGGCACAGCCAGTCCTTGCAGCTGATCAGCCTGAGTAAATCCCTCCCATTGACATGCCAACAGCAATCAAGACTCAATTACAACAGAAGGGTGTATAGCCCACACTAGGGATGCCCCTTGAGGGCCCAGCTGGGGTGATCAGGGAGGCTGTGCCACTAGATCCTACAGGACATCTACAATAATAGGCCACCTTAGGAAGCCCAGGAGACATAGCAACTCTACCTAATACATAGAAACAATCACAGGAGGAGACAAAGAAACACATCCCAAATGAAAGAAAAGAATAAAACTCCAGGAAAAGAACTAAACAAAATGGAGATAAGCAATCAATCAGATGCAGAGTTCAAAACACTGGTAATAAGGTTGCTCAAGGAACTTGGTGAGACCTTCAAGGAACTTAAGGAGACCTCCAAGGAACTTAGTGAGAACATCAACAACATCAAAAAGGATCAGTCAGAAAAGAAGGATGTACTAAGTGAAATAAAGAATAATTTACAGGGAATCAATAGTAGAGTAGGTAAAGCCAAGAACCAAACCATCGATTTGGATATAAGGAAGCAAAAAACACCCAATCAGAACAGCAAAAAGAAAAAAGAATCCAAAAAAATGAGGATATTGTAAGGAGTCTCTGGGACATCTTCAAGTGTGCCAACATTCACATCATAGGGAGAAGAGAGAGAATGAGAAGAGAGAGAACAAGAAATTGAAAACCTATTTGAAACAATAATGACAAAAATCTTCACTAACTTGGTGAAGGAAATAGACGCACAAGTCCAGGAAGCACAGAGTCCCAAACAAAATGAACCCAAAGAGGTCCACACGCATCATCATCAAAATGCCAAAGGTTAAAGACAAAGAGAGAACCTAAAAAGCAGCAAGAGAAAAGCAGTTTGTTACCTACAAAGGAGCTCCTATAAGACTGTCAGCTAATTTCTCAAAAGAAACTTTGCAGGCCAGGAGTAGCAGGAGATATTAAAGATGATGAAAAGCAACGACCTACAACCAAGATTACTCTATCCTGCAAAGCTGTCATTTAGAATTGATGGACATATCAAGTTTCACAGACAAGAAAAAGTTAAAGGAGTTCATCACCACCAAACCAGTATTATATGAAATGTTGAAGGGTCTTCTTGAAGGAGAAGAACAAAAATATAAACAATAAAATGGCTATTAATACATATCTATCAACAATTGAATCTACAAAAAAAATGAGCAAGCAGAACAGAAACAGACTCTTAGATACAGAGAACTTTTTGTTGCTTGCCAGATGGGTGGGGGCTGGGAGGATGGGTGAACAAGATGAAGGAATTAAGAAGTACAAAATGGATGTTAGACGTATGAACCTCCAAAGGAAAGGGGGAGGGAGGGTGGGATGAGATAAACCAAAGAACTTCTATACTATACATATATGCACAACCAATGGACACCGACAATAGTGTGGGGAAGGAAGGAGGGGGGTGAGATTGGGGGAGAGGGGGTCAATGAGGGAAAAAAAGGGGGGACATCTATAATACAATAAAGGGGAGTTAAAAAACCAACTTTAAATTAAAGTTGTTAATTTTGTAGCAGTAGATTTGGTTAGCACTTTCTTCTTCAGATGATAAAAGAAATGAACCTGTGGGTGGCATGAAAGAGCTAACATGTCTCCCCAAAAACTTAATTTATAGAAAATTACTAGCTCAGGGGGTTCTTCTGCCTCCACACTGTAAATCACCCTGGACAGTCAGCTGAACCACAGCTAATACATATAGCACCTAGGCTGTGTCCTACATGTTTGTGAGTGTGCCTCCCGGAGCTTCATGTCTGTGAGTGTGCCTCCCGGAGCTGCATGTCTGTGAGTGTGCCTCCCGGAGCTGCATGTCTGTGAGTGTGCCTCCCGGAGCTGCATGTCTGTGAGTGTGCCTCCCGGAGCTGCATGTCTGTGAGTGTGCCTCCGGAGCTGCATGTCTGTGAGTGTGCCTCCCGGAGCTGCATGTCTGTGAGTGTGCCTCCGGAGCTGCATGTCTGTGAGTGTGCCTCCTGGAGCTGCATGTCTGTGAGTGTGCCTCCTGGAGCTGCATGTCTGTGAGTGTGCCTCCTGGAGCTGTGCAAAACAGGGACCTACCTCTAAATCAAGTTTAACTTGACAGTACACTAACTGAACTGCTCAGAGTTTTTTTTTTAACTGTAAAGAATACCATTACGGATAACTTAATTGTAATCAAAGTGCCAAATAGTTTCAGTTTTTCTTGAAGCCTTTGATCACATCGTGTAATGTCAGTTTTTCTAGAAGTTTCATTTGGTAAAGTTTCCTAAATGAAAAGACAGGCTAAGACAGGAAAATGTGAAGAAAGTTATATTCTCCTTAGCAATTAAATGCAGGTCTATATAATACACCCTTTCATTTCTTTAAATATTCAAATTTCTGTCTTTACATAAATATTTAAAATTATTCAAATTAAAGCTTTGGAGACTGGTTTAAAAGCAATACAAGCCCAGCCAGTGTGGTTCAGTGGTTGAGTGTCGACCCATGCACCAAGAGGTTGCCAGTTCGATTCCTAGTCAGGGCACATGCCCAGGTTGTGGGCCAAATCCCCAGTGGGGGGCATACAGGAGGCGGTCAATCGATGTTCTCTCTCATCAATGTTTCTATCTCTCTTCCCCTCACCCTTCCTCTCTAAAATCGATAAAGAAAAAAAAAAAAGGCAAGACAAGCCCTGGCTGGTTTGGCTCAGCGGTAGAGCATGGGCCTGCGGACCAATGAGTGGAAGGTTCAATTTCAGCCAAGGGCATGTACCTCGGCTACGGTTTGTCCTGGGTCCTGGTTGGGGTAATGCAGGAGGCAACCAATCGATGTGTCCTTCTCACATTGATGTTTCTCTCTCTCTCCCTCTCACAATAGAAAAATATCTTCAGGTGAGGATTAAAAAATAAAAATAATAATAATAAAAATAAAAGAAAAAACATCACTGTATATTCAAAAGGCAAGTCAATGCACAGACTGATTTTCTGCAACTTGTAAATCTTAATATTTTTTGTATTTTTACTAGAAGATAATACTGGATTTCTTTCTAGAATCAAGGTACTTGGGGCTAACTTAGCTCCTTCTCTGAATCCTTAGTTTCCTAAACTTAAATTTTATGTCTCTATCCTTCTACCTCACCTAACTTCCTTACTCTTGAAATGCTTTTAAAGTTATCACTGTTCAATGCTTTAACATTGTCTTCTTAAAGAAAACTTTAATGCAACGTTAATACTACCAATGGCTTTATTTTCTCATATACATGGAGAATGGTTCCCAGGCAATCAGAAGCACAACGTCTCTTTCATTAGCAAAGTTAAAATCCTCAATATGTGACACAAACTTACGTATTTCTTCCACAACTTGTGGGTCACATTCTTTGTATTTTTCTACTTCTGCCTTTAGCTGTTCCTTTTGTTCTCGAAGTGAAGAAAGCTCTTTTGCTAGCCTGGTTCGTTCTTCCTGAATTTAAAATAGTTTTACGTATAAGTAAGGCAAACAAAATGCTATATATTATAAGGTTATACATTTTATAGACACTTTCATTTTATGTCTCCTAACTGATATGCATTATTAGGCTTTGTCAATATTAAAAATATGCCCACATATATTTACAATATAAGAAGAAACTCAATTATAATTTTTCTCTGACATCTCAAGCATCTTTAAATAAACTGACTGATTGAGACTACACAGAAAGAAACGCTCAAGATAAGAGATTACCAATTATGTATGAACTCAAAAACATGTCGTTTTATGTTAGGTAAAAATATTATACTGCCTCTTGGGTAGTTTCACAAGACTGTGTTTCTATATATGTAATATTTTTAAAGTAGCATCAATTATTATATAATTTTCCTTAAAAGCAGTTCCAGACAATTTTTCAATCTTTAAAGATAATTAACCTTTAAAATATTTAAAGATATCAGAAATAATAAAATTGTTGCTTGTGGCCTCCCATCACTTTCCTTTAAAGCTAAACCAGAATAAATCTTTTAAACACAGTGTGATCCAATAAATACCATTAGAAATTTCTAGCCATAGATCTCATTAACAGGTAGAAGTCATGGTGCTATCAGTATTCAATTCATATGTGTGAAACTTGAAAAATAAATCCAAACAAAAATCAAATACTGGCAAAGGTTATGGTACAAAATTATAGGATAAGTCTGAGGCAAAACCAAGTACTTCACGCTGCCTAGTAAGACCTGTTTAAGGTTCCTCGCTGGCTTGTGTTTTGCACTTGTTTTTTCTTTTGCCTTTCTCTGTTTTCTTTGGTTCCAAAGCACAAAAAGCTCTTAGCTAGCATTTGTACAAGAGAATGCGTGTACAGAGCAGCACACTCTGAAGCAGCCCAGTCCAACAGGACTCTGCAATGATGGAAATGTCCTAGATCTGCGTTCTCCAATGCAAAAAATATTAGCCACATGTGGCTACTAAGTACATGAAATTTGGCTATTGGTACTGCGAGACTGAATTTATTTGTATTTAATTTTAAGTGTCGATAGCAACACATAATTAGTATATATCATATTAGCACAGCTTTGGAGAGATTTCAAAATAACTACAATATAAGTCAGTAATTATTTGCCATCCACACCCAAATTATACATGTTCCACAATGAAAAGAGAGAGGAAAAAAGCTGTGTGAATGCAATGATAGCTCTCCAGACACCCTGAATTAAAGAGCAGACTGCTACTAGCACTGAGATCTTTGCCAAATTACTTCAACACTTTGTGCTTTCACTAAAATGGAGATAGTAATAGAAGCTACCTCCTTTACTGTTGGCAAAATTCAATAAATATATAAAATGTATTTGGAACAGTACCTGCCTGGCTAATATTAAGCAGAATATTTATGTTAGCTATTTCTTCTTGATAATCATCAGCATCAGCACCAGGGGCTATGTTTTTCTGAAAAATCCTGAGTGGTGAGCTCAGAATGAACACAAGAGTGCATCTTTCTCAAGAGCCTATCTGAACTACTATATTCTTCTGATAGCAGGCACCAACTAAGTTTGCTACTGTTTTTTTCCTAGTTGCAATGATTTCAGTTGACTGGGTAAAACTCAGCAGACTGGCTGACAACTTGTGGGCATGGGTATGTCACCATTAGTCAAAGATGCTTCTGTAAGTTATTGCCAATGTTAAAGAAAAAAAGGATCAAACAGGGAAGTGGCCATTATTACTGTCAACTGAAGAAGAAATAACAGCTTCAGGTTATGCCCAGAACTTACCTTTCCTTGAATATTCTTTAGGAATTACCACTTCCAATTCTGGTCTGTGACTATGCTGACTATTCACGTGAAAGAAGGCATGTGAAATAACTTTGAAAGCATAAATTCGCTGTAAACCTGAAATGTAGTCTCTTCTATAACGTGATAAATTTTTGAGTCTCTTTCACAATCAAGTGGTACAAGCACAAGCCTAGATGGAATGCTTAGTGGTTGTGGTTCATGCTGATCTTCAATATTTTCTCAAGTCTTAAATCCATACCCGAGATAATGACGAAACTGGAAAGTGAAGTGATTTTTAAAAACCCCTAACACAATACTTTAGAGAATACTGCACTTTAAAAAATAAAATAGTAAGTCAATATTCATTTAAATAATTTAGAAATACTACAAGGCCACAGGAATATTATATTGATAGTTTTCCATTTGTTCTGTGCCAAAACTTAAAAAACAAGACTCTTAAAAACATATATGAACATTTATATAGGGCTTACCTTATGCCAGGTTCTCTTGTAAGCGCTTTGCCAATATTAATTTAATTCACACAATTACCTAATGAGGTCGATTTTATTATTCCCTATTTTACAACTAAGAAAATCAAGAACAGAGAGTTTAGGAGACTTTCAAACCCAGGCAGTCTGGCTCCAGAGTTTATGCTTCTATGCTATGCTGCCATATACAATATAATAAAATAATAATAAATCTAGATTCACAGTTAGTGACTCCTGCCAGGTCAAATGTTCACGTCCTTTGCTGTGACTCACTTCTCTTCTGGTACAAATCGCCTACTCCTCACAGGAAGCTGGATGTCCTTATTCTTCCATTCAGAATTAGCATTATTAAAGAATCTACAGACAGAAACTTACCGTTTCATGTCGGCCAATTTTAGCTTTCTCAATGCTCTTCTGTAGGTTTGCGTGCTTTTGGCTTCCCTCAGATAACTAGAGAAGTAAAACAAAGAAAATAGCTTGCTAAGATAAACTTGCTAAACACGAAGCTTATAAGTCAAAACGACAAAATGAGATTTGTCTTCAGCTCAAGTCTTTGTAACAAAAAGGTCAAAGATGACATTGGGAACTACTCTAATTTGAAGAAAATAAAGTACTATGAACCATTAGGACAAACTGAGAAAAATAAGTTCAAAAAGATTTCTCCTATCCTATGCAGAAGAATGAATAATATGCTTTCAATCTTTTCTAGTCTTTGTCAGGTTCACCACTCCCAACCCAAATAAGGTATATTATTTAAAAATTGAATTTGAAAATTCAAAATCTGTTCTATATAAATTTTCTCTAAATTCCCTTTTACTTCTGAGTAGCCTTTTCAAATACCCTAAGCTGTTTCTTATAGACCTGTAGTACTGTGACTTATTTCACTAACAAAGTAAAAAAATGAATGGATCATTTACTATTCTTAAATAAGGTACTTTATGAGTAATTGATACTTTATATTCTAAGTTCTCAGAGAACAAAAAAATCTATTAGCCTGTGGCCAATTTTATGCATATTTTACGTACCTTAAAAGTGACTGGTTTAAGCACTGTATCAAGCTTAGAAAGTAGTAAATTATATATATAAATGGGCTAAATAATACCACCATAAAAAGACCATAGATAGAGAATATTTATTAGCATGTGGCTGGGCCCTTTCCAAAAAGGACTTGTTAACTTCAGAACATTGCTTCTCCCTCAATTTTTTAAATCTTACTTGGGCTCATGACTAAATAATCACAGGAAATTCCCAAAACTAAATTCTCCACCACATCTTTTGCTATAAACTACTCAGAAATTATAGACTTATTTGATTGGGTAAGGGCCTTTTAAAATATATTCCAATCTCCCCTCATTCTTGAATTATAAACATTTAGAAAGTAATTAATGACTGAATAAATGATTTCTTGGCTGATTGTAAGAGACTGACCTTTTCCAATATAACCTAGCTATATGTAAAGAGTGAATAATATTCAGATACCCTTTTTTTGCTTAAAAATCACAAACAGTATCTTCAAAAAGTTGGTAGCTTTACCCTAGCCTAAGGAAATCTTTCACTTCTCAGTATGCATCAAGGGAACAATGTCAGCTTTCTCTAATGGTTGTCCTGTCACTGGTTCTAATCCACAGCATGAACAAGATCCATCTGTGATTCCAAGAAGACACCACCGCCAAACCAGTTATACCTCTTCTTGAGAGTAATCATCTTCTTAAGTTAAAAACCAAAAATCTGTTGTAGATTCAAGAGCCAAAATAAGCTCTAAAGCCATAAGTTTAGCAAGAAGATCTAGTTCTTCAAAAAAAAAGAAAAAAGAAAAGGGATCTCAGCCTTGCTGGTGTGGCTCAGTAGTTTAGCGTTGACCCGTGCACCAAGAGGTCACCAGTTGAATTCCCGGTCAGGGCACATGCCCAGGTTGTGGGCCAAACCCCCAGTGTGGGGCACATGCAGGAGGTGGCCAATCAGTATTCTCTCTCATCGATTTTTCTATCTCTCTCTCTCTAAAAAAAAATGAATAAATAAAGAGAAAAGGGATCTTAGCCCTGGCCAGTGTAGTACAGTGGTTAGAGCATGAGCCCACGCACTGAAGGGTGTCAGTTTCGATCCCCAGCCCCAGTTGGGGTGCATGTGGCCAATTGCTGTCTCTCTCACACATTGATGTTTCTCTCTCTCTCTCTCTCTCTACCCTCCCCCCTCCCACTCTCTCTAAAAATCAATTGAAAAAATATCCTTGAGTAAAGATTAACAACAACAAGGTTCCCATTTATAAAATAACATCATGTTTTAAAAGTTAATATTCCACTTTTAAGGATCCACTTGAAATAATTAATAAATGTATATAACATTTAAGTTCAGGAATAGAGAATTTTCCAATGAAAAAACTACACACACACACACACACACACACACACACACACACACACATTACCATACACTTAAAAAAAAAAATCCTCATCCAAGGATATTTCTCCATTTATCTTCAGATAGAGTGGGAGGGAGGGAGGAAGAGAGAGAGGAAGAAATAGAGTGGGAGGGATGGAGGAAGAGAGAGAGAGAGAAATAGAGTGGGAGGGAGAGAAAGAGGGAGGGGGGAGAGAGAGAGAGAGAAAAACATTGACATGAGAGGAACACATTGACTGGTTATCTCCTGCACGACTATGGCCAGGACCCGGGACAAACCACAACTGAGGTATGTGCCCTTGACTGGAATCGAAAGTGACTCTTTGGTCTGTAGGCCGACCCTCTAACCACTGAACCAAACCGGCCAGGGCTACCACACATATTTTCCACTAAAAATATTTTTTAAATAACTAGATAGGTAGATGTTATAAACATTTAGAAATAAATTATTGTATACAATAAGTTAATAATTAATGGATATATATCTTAATTATATTAATGAAGTGTCTTCCAGGTATTGTATGTCTGCTTGTAATTATCTACAACTTAAAAGCATTTGAAAGAGAGCTAATTCAGGAATTCCTTAACTTGAAAATAACCTTACATATTGGAAATGTGATTTCATGATTTGTCAGTTTTAGTATCTTGGTAACGAAGGGAGACACAATCTAAATGATGTAAACAAATGAGAAGCTTTTGATAATTATCTAAGTACTGAAACAATTTGGTTCAGCTCAATAGTGAAGGATTCTTGGCTCTCTGTTTAGTTCTTAAAATCTCAACTACTGGAAACAATGAAAGCAACTCATGTGAGGTGGCCTTTGCTATCTTTACATCTTCTAGAAGCAATATTGCTATAGTTCCTAATGCGTATCTGGAATTAAACCAAACCCAGGCCTGAAGTGTTAAGAGCTGAGCAGATATTATCTAAACCAGTAGTTCTCAAACTTTAGCATAGAGCAGACTCACCTAAAGGGCTTGTTAAAACACAAGTTGCTGGGCTCCACCTGCCAGTTTCTGAACAGTAGGTCTGGGGTGGAGCCTAATAATTTGCGTTTCTAACATGCTCCCAGGTGATGGTGATTCTGATGCTTCTGGTTAGGGAGAACAACTAAACTAAACAAAACCTATTCTTGAAGTAACAAACTCAACAAAAATACACAAGATATTAATATATGGAGGGTATTACCTAGTTCATCAACAAAAATGAATTACTGCTAAATATTGTAGCCTGAACTTAAATTATCAACATTTCTCTCACTAGAATTGAAAACTCCACATTTACAAAAGTAGAAAAAGAAGTGATACTCTACATTCAAAGAAGGTATTCAGCATAAGCTTCCTTTAGAGAGCAAACTCTCTGATACACTTCTAGACCATAAAGCAAGAACCAACTATATACTGTAACAAGCCCATTTCCAACTTTTACTAAAGCAAATAATATTTAAAAATCCAGTAACTCCAAACAAAACAACAGCAGAAGCAACAACAAAAACTATTTATAATTAGTAAGAACCAGATTTCATCTTTAGATTTGAGGATCTGACACAATGCTTCTCTTTAATCCATTCCAGGCCACCTATACAGACACTCAGGGTTGAGAAACATAATGCCAATGTTTTCTAAAGGGATAATTCACTGCCTAGAGGAACTGCCTATTCATAAGAGGAACAGAAAGATTGATTCAAGCTGACTCCTTTGGTATTCTGATTTACTCCTTTTTAGAAATAAAAAAAAATTTCCAAAGCATTAGGAAAGGAAGATAGAGGTTTTCATAGGTGGGAAAGAATGTCAAGGAACAGAGAATGAGGAAAAGAAGTAATAGCAGGCCCTGGCCGGTTTTGCTCAGTGGTTAGAGCATCGGCCTGCGGTCTCGAGAGACCCGGGTTCAGTTCCCGCTAAGGGCATGTACCTCGGTTGCAGTTTGTCCCCGGCCCTTGTTGGTCGTGCGGGTGGCAGCCACTCGATGTGTCCCTTTTACATCGATGTTTCTCTCTCTCTCTTCCTCTCTCCCCTCCCACTCTACCTGAACAAAAAATAGAAAAATGTCCTCGGGTGATAAAAAAAAAAAAAAGAATAGCAGGAGAGTCCAGATCAGTCTATGGCTTTATTAAAATCCGTGTACAGTATGTTATGAAAAAAAGTTCTATGTCTTTTGTTTTTCCTTAAAGAAAAAAGTGTCATTTACTTTGAAATTTTATATACTTAAAAAGACAAATCACATGATCTCACTTATATATGGAATATAATGAATATAACAGTCTGAGGAATAGGGTAGACCCAGAAACACAGAAGTAGGCTACAGACTGACAACCCTCAGAAGAGGGGGTGGTGGGGGTGGGAAGAGATAAACCACAGAACTTATATGTATGTATGCATAACCAATGGACATGGACAACAAAGCCAGGGATGGGGTGGGGGGGGGGGGATGGAGAGGAGGGTGTCAATGGGGTAAAAAAGAAGAAACATCTGTAACAAAAATAAAATAAAAAAAAAAAACTTATTAAGAGTATCTAAAACTTAAAAATTTATCTTTTAAGGCAATATTCCACTTAGGAACCAATCATAAGAAAAAAATAAACATTATAAAGATATACTTATATATAAAAACAGGAGTCATGTAATTGTCCAAAACCAGAAGTCTGGACACTTGGATAAAGACTCCATCTGGGCCCTGGCCGGTTTGGCTCAGTGGTTAGAGCGTCGGCCTGAGGTCTGGAGAGACCCGGGTTCGGTTCCCGCTAAGGGCATGTACCTTGGTTGCAGTTTGTCCCCGGCCCTGGTTGGGTCCTGTGGGTGGCAGCCACTCGATGTGTCCCTTTCACGTCGATGTTTCTCTCTCTGTCTCTTCCTCTCTCCCCCTCCTACTCTATCTGAACAAAAAATGAAAAAAATGTCCTTGGGTGAGGATAAAAAAAGACCCCATCTGGACACTGATATGAGTGGGACCACTGCCCACTGTGACTATAAGAACTCAGGGCTCCGACCACCCAGTGCTTGAGCTGGCTGTACCATGGGTCACGCTCAGAACCCAAGGAGACTCCACCAGATGC